ATTATTTAGTAATCTTAATGCAGAATGAATAAGTAGTATTAACAGCACAAAGCTGGGTTCTCCTTTGAGCCTTTTAATGGCTGTTGATACAGTGAGAGTGAGATTGTGGTGAGTGCCAAAGTTTATATTTGGAATCCCCAAGTTCTATCCCTATTTGACGAGAGTTGTATATGGTTAGTTTAGTCATTAAGATTTCCAACTTGACTTGGTTTTATGAGGCCATCTTGATACTAATCTGGTCATTTACTACCCTCTTATTGCTTAACTACAAATACTAATCTAAACATTTTTCTCTTAACACAAGTTGTTGACTTCAATCACAAAATTGTTTTTCCTGAAAATCGTATTGAAATTTGTAGCAATAGATAGGAACTATGTCAATATAGTAGTCATGGAATACAGTCTTTATTTAAACATCATTTAGCTTACAGTAGTAGTCATGAAAAATTGATTAATATATTTCTAAGTGTTGCGATGAAAATGTCTTTTTCATGAGATTAAATTGTATATATACAAGATAAGGTTATAAACTCTGAGGTTATTACATTCCAATATCTATGATCTTTGAACCCAGTTCTGTTGGAACTGTCTTCTGAATTGAAATGGGGTTTAACATCCTCTTTTCTGCTCCAAGCAGATTAATGAAGAGAAATGAAATGGGGTTTAACGTCCTACTGTTCTGCTCCTATACTGGGCTAATGAAGACGGGCATACACCATACAGTGTGCTATGAGGGAAATTTTGCCCGGACAGCAGCACTATTGCCTACTCTTATATCGAATTCCAACTGCCAAGGGATCTTTTACATTCTTTCCAATGGTTACACGGGACCTCGGTTTTTCGTCTCATCCGAAGGACTAGACAGCTGTCCTTGTCAGGCCCTCCGTCCTGCATCACTGACAAGGGGAAACCACGTCGGAAAATCTGGATGAACTTTCTCAGCCAATGCATTGATCGAACACCCGACCTCCAGGCTAGCGAGCCAACGCCTTACCCACTTAGCCACCGCAGTAATGAAGAGAGAATTGAATACATTAATCTGGCTGAGTGGTTATTGAGTCAACGGGTGTGGTTTCGATTCCCCGGTTGTACGTGACAAGGAGTAAGGTCGCCTGTCCAACCTCGTGGGTTTTCTCCAGGTCCTCCGGTTTCCTCCCACTGCTAAAGACCCATACGCGCATGCAAATTGTTGAAATAAAATTGAACCATATGTTAGTCCCTAAATGACCTAGTTTGTGACGAGTGGATGTTAAACCCCATCTCTCTTTCTTTCTTATCAGAAGAAAATAAAAATTGTCATGAGTTAGTTTCTCAATGGAAAAATTTGAAATGAAATGAAATGGGGTTTAACATCCTACATTTTTGCTCCGAACTAGCTTCTCCATATAGTGTGCTATGAGGGAAATTTTGCCAATAGAGCGGCACTACAGCCTACTATTATATCGAATTCCAACTGTCAAGGGATCTTTTACGTGTACGCCAATGTGTACACAGGACCTCGGTTTTTCATATCATCCGAATGACTAGGCAGCTGTCCTTGTCAGGCCCTCCTTCCTGCATCACTGACAATAAGGGGAAACCACACCACGCCAGAAAATCTGGACGAAATTTCTCGGCCAATGTAGGGATCGACCACCCGACCTCTAGGCTAGCGAGCCAGTGTCTTACCCACTTAGCCACTGTGACTCTAGGAAAAATTAGAATAAAGATATGAATTCTATATCTGGATAAACTCATTTATTATGTTAAATTTAAAGAAATATTGATTTTTCTACATCATGATCTGAGTTAGAGATAAATATGGACTTGAGATCTAATTTAGCATAGAAGGAAAATAAAATTGAAATTTATCATTGAAGAAAAAAGATCGTACTAGACTTTATTCCATAATGAAATTGTCAATATGAATGGGTTTTTATTAGATTAATTTTATCACAATACAGCTGATACAGCCGATGGTTATCCTTGACAAACATAGATTGAAGAATAAATAAGTATTTTATCAGAAAATATGGTGGTGGTTTTTTGTAGGGTAAATTCACTTAAATGGAGTAGCATTTGAAAATATTCTTAATTTGAAAACAACCATATAACTGATGTCTAGAAAAATATTGACATTACCCAATTATCTGAAATAATCTGAATTTATTTGATTGTCATGTTTGGAATAGAAACAGTCCTGGGTGGATCCAGAAAACCTTCTAGAGTTAAAAAAGAAAATAGCCATTACAATTTCTTTAATATGATTCTAGAATGTGTCCTCAAATTTCTATAAAAATTCTGTCTGAAGAATACGTCTGATGTGTAAAGTGATTTGGTTGTCTGTTGTTAAAACATGGTGTATGATGGTGAGGATTCTGAAACTAAAAAGTCTCCATAGATCTGTCTTCAGCGCGGATCAATAAAGCTTATAGTGGTATTTTTAGTTAGTTTTATACTAGGTATAAGTACTACCGAAACAAGTCAGGATATTTTACCATATGGCTACTAGAATCACCGAAGATATTAGGTGGATTATAGTACATACAAGTGGATAACGACAGTATTACTACACCATATAAGGACGTATGGATTTGACTGGAGGCGGAGAATAATAAGAGATTTTATAGACGGTTCTATGAACAATATCCATTTTACTGAATGCATCATTACTTTCCACCATACACTTCATCTTCATGATTAGATCGGATAAAAAAAAAATCACCACATGATATTAAGATTCTATTACAAACCTCCTATGAAAATGTATTACACAAGATCAAGTAATTGAAGACCTCTGGAGATGTTTTTCCTGGTAGTTTACCAGAATCTTTTAAATGGTGATGGAATTTGCTATAGAGAGTGGACAATCTACCCTTGTTGGTAATAAAGTCCAATCAATGCATCTTTAAAGGACAATATTGGTGTCGGTCATTATCACATATGTGATAGAACTAGTTAAACACATTCCAAATATAATAACACAGAGATCATTGCTACGATAGATGCGTAGTGAAGCCTCGTGACTTCCTTTTGTAGAACCCTTCACCACGCATCTATCGTAGCAATGATCTCGGTGTTAAAATTTATTTGGAACATTTTTAAACCAGTTCTATCACATATGTGATAATGACTGACACCAATATTGTCCTTTAAGTATGATTGGTACATATGCACTAGAAAATGCCTGACATAACTTGAATGGTATTTAATAAAACGTTGCCACCAACAACTAGTAATGGTAATTAACGAGAATATATCGTGACACGTTATCATATGTTATATATATATCATATATTATTTAATATACTAGATACATATAATCGCTTTACACACTTTTTTTTTTACTCAACTTCTCAATTATTAATGCAAGTCTTTTTTTCTTTCCAATATTCTGATATTAAAACAACAAACGGATATAATAATTTACTTTTCATGACTCATGCATTATGTTTTGGATGAAAGGAACTGGAATGATATTGATGTATTAACTTCTGACTTTACCAGTCAGGCTAATGAAAGCGTGCATATGCCTTGCAGTGTACTATGAGACCATTTTGACCGACAGCAGTGCTATAGTCTCCTTTCATTACAATTTCCTGGGGAAGGTGGGGGGGGGGTGTCTAGTGGTTTAACGTGTGGGCATGAAATAATAAGATCTGTCATTGAGTCAAGTGACATGGTTTCGATTCCCTGCTTGTATGTGACAAGGAATATTGAAATAAAATTGAACTTTGTTAGTCCCGAAATGACCAATTTTGTGCTTAGTGGACGTTAAACTGCCTTTCTCTCTCTATTACAATTTCCAACTGTGGATAAATCTTTAATGTACTACCAATGTAAACAAAATAGGACATCTGGTGGGGGGGGGGTGTATCAAAACAACTAGATGCTTTCTCTATACCCACCTGGAGTAGCCTGAGGAACGTTTTCGGCTAACACTGGGAACGGACCTGGGATCTCCTGGTGAGTGACTCTCAAGCCTGGACATAAGGCACCCGTCACCGACTTTGTCAAGTACAAATTATTACACAAGTCAAGTCTGGACATAAGGCATTTGCCGCAGATATTGTCAGACACAAATTACTACACAATGTTTTTATTATAATATATATGTTGTGTGATAATTTGTGTCACAGACATCTTTCTTTGACAGGTGCCTTATGTCCAGAATTGATGACTTGGTGCCATTCTCACTGATACACTGTGGTTCTCTTGCAGGAAATAAAACAAACTGCATGTTGAAGGAGCATTGCCAAAATTTAAGAAAATCATTAAATTCAGTAATTTCAAGATGACCTGATACTATCTTTTAGCCTCAAAATTATTAAACGATCAAGGGAAACGATTCTATAAGTTTATGAGAAATCAATAAATATTGTTTTGTCATTATTGTTAGTTATTCATATGTGACCCACTCCTACGAAACCAGGCACCTGTCACACGACTTCATTTTATACTAAGGCACAAATGCATAAACTGTATGTCTTGTTGCTGTGAATGAGCCAAACACAACTCCAAATAATACGACAAATTTTAAAAGAATTGCATTTTTGGTAAGCTTATGGCTGTTGACTATTCAAATATGCTGCCAGCTCTATTTTTATAAAAATGACCAAGAGCCTGGTTTTGTGAGAGCAGCTCACATATTAAAGAATTGATGACATACAAACGGACATGAATGGTGGCAATACGAAACCCAATTACATGTAGGCGTGTAAAAATAACTTTCTTTGGCATTAATTCGTCTTTCTTTGGCTATTGGTATCTTTATTGAAACACAAAAAGTGAATTCCAGCGTAATGTCTTAAATACAAGTAGTGTCTTCATGAATGGTTTATTTCCGTACTTGGTGTTTATTTCTAACTTTATGGACATGTTGTCTGTCAATTCTATAAATGGATGACTTCACAGATAAAAATCTTTTCTAAAGCTATTGACAGGGAAATAATGGCAAAAAAGAGAGTTCAGCATCTCTTAAAATCTATTTATTCAAAGTCACATTTCTTCATCTTTTTCAGATTGTATTGGTTACAGACCGAAACACAAACAAACCACGTGGCTACGCTTTCATTGAGTATGAACACGAACGAGACATGCATTGTAAGTACAATATTGTTATTTTAGATTTTATTCCATTTCCACGCTCTCGCTGGTCTTAATGGCACCATTACAATTATATTCAAAGTAAATTTTATTTAAAAAAAAAAAAAAAAAAAAAATGGATATAGCTGTCAGTAACCACATGGACTGGTGATTTGCCGTATGATTTTTGAACTGAAATATATTTATACATGCTGCTGGTGCCTATAAAGTTGTTAAAAAAAAAATAGAAGTGAACTATTTTGTTGGTTGATGAATTAACACAGTTGTGATTATTAGTCTTTGCAATCGGAGCATTTCGTGACATCTAGTATAGTTTTACTGATGTTACCAAAATATTTTTCTATAGAAATTATTACTCCAAACTATGTGAGGTAACCCAAAATATCTGAGTCTTTGGTGACCTCATGTACTTGCATATATAGTAGTGTTAGTGAAATACCATCATCAGAGCTACATCCAGTATGGCTTTAAAGATAATGTTACAATAACATCACTTTTTCTATAGAAATTATTACTCTATAGAAAAGTAACCAACAAATTTCATACAAATGATCCTCAAATATACATACAGAAATTTAAGTGTACAAATTGTACATTACAGCCAAAGTTATTTGACATAAATTTCACAGTTAGTGCAATTCAGGTGCTTTAAAGTTACAACTAAATATAAACTGCATCCGAGAAAATACTATTAATAAAATACAAAATCGAAATCAAATAGGTTATTGAAAGCTCATGTTGTGATTAAATGCACATGGTGTCTGCGAGAGAGTTGGAGTGAATTTATAGCTGATATAACCGTTGGTCCTGATGGGATCAAATTCTATAATCAATAGGGCTAGCTTTTCAAACACCTGACTGTGACAGACAAATTATGCAACACCCAAATTAGGCTGCAAGTTTTGAAGGAAAAAAGTTGTTTGTAACCCAGAAATCAATACACAGATGGGTTAAAACACCACCAGTGCCAAACCAGTGTCTTTCTAACAGGTTCCTCTATATTCGATCTCCTTTTTATATCGACTAATTCACGACCAATGTCTGAACCTGGCGTCAAAAAATTTCTCAGATAAGTTGTTGCCATGGATTGAACTTTGCAGAGTTGTTTATGTAGATATCAAACCTTGCATGTCAGAAATAGGCTGGCAGATTTTTTGTTCTTGTTTTGCAATTTATAACTCAGGAAAACTGTGTGGTGGTTCTGATTGATTGCTTACTTGAATGTGTTTTCAAGGAATTACACTCCATGTGTTCATCTAGAAGACAAGAGACATCACTTAAAGCAACAAATAGTTTATTTCCCTAACAGATTTAATCCATCTTGTAAATGATTTTACCAAAAGATTAATGGCCTTATTTTGTGCGGTATTTTAAAAAGATAAAAATTAATTTTCTCTTTACTAATATCTTAACATTTATTGCTGAGATTTCAAAAAAGTATACTCAATTAATATTAATGTAGTGATTTCTGATTATATGGCAGGCTTAAAAAAAACTATTAATGGACCAGTAGTACCAGAAGAGGGAAAATTTGGCATTTGCTCCAATATCAGCAGAAATATCTCTGAATATCTTCAAAGTTTTTCGTAGAGATGTTGAGATAATTTATCTAATGACATAAAAGTTTCTGATCATTGAGGCGCCTTGAATTTTATTATCAATTATCTATAAAGATTATCTTAAGAACCGTATGAAATCTGTAAAATTTCTTACTTACTGGTTGTTGATAACTAGGTCTTGTATATCTTACACTATAACTTAATTTTTACCCTGATTTATCTTCAGAGACAAAAAAATCAATAAAATTCCTCATTTTGTCCAATTTCATGACTAAACCTGCTAATTTTTAAATCTGACTCTGGAACACAAGTCTCAAGTCTGTTGTTACTTGGCCATTATATATACATTGACAAAATATACTCTAGTTTTCTGGTAAAACATGTCTAGATCTAAAAGAAAAGGGGTGAGGTGATATCCTAAGGTTTCGTCATTAAGTCAAGTGGCATGGTTTTCGATCCCACACTTGTAAAGCCTAAGATAAGAATTAAAAAGTTAAATACAAGCTTGTGGATTTTCTCTAGATCCCCGGGTTTCCTCCCCCTGCTAAAGACCCCTATGCGCAAGCAAATTATTGAAATAAAACTGAATATGTTAGTCCCAAAATGACCTAGTTTGTGTCAAGTGGACAAACCACCCCTCCCTCTCTCCCTCCCTCTCTCTCTCTCTCTCTCTCTCTCTCTCTGAAAAAGGTTAAATAGTTAAAAGATATGCATCATTCATAAAGTATGCCAATAACCAGAAGACGACAGGGTTGATCCCAGTATTGGCCCTCAAAGGCCAAGTATCTAGTTGTTCAGATGGGTTTAAAAAACTGAGCTCTCTTATATACCAGTGAAATCACATTAAAGATCATCGGACAGTTGAAACCAAAATATGAGTATGATGTAGTGCCATGCTAGGGTAAAATTTCCCTCAAAGCACTCTATGGTATATGTATATGCAGAAAAATAGGGCATTAAACAACATTTCACCACAAAACACAGCAGATGTTTGATAATTGATTCATATGCAGCTTATTTTAAATAAATTATTTGTACACAAAAAATGTTTGAATGACATTTTGCATTGTTATTTGATTTTGCGATTTGAAATTAAATCGTAAATTCAAACATTTTCTGTTTCACCATGATGATTGCCACCATATTTAATGTTTTCTGAAAACCAACATCTACTATGATTAAATAAAAGTAATCAAATTAATGTCATTTTACAATTCTAGAAATTATAAATAGTTCCGAAAGCCTATGTGAAGTGAAATTAAATATTGATCGCTTATAAAATTCTAAATTAAATATAAGTCTTAAATGTTAAGCAGTTCTAAAATACTACAAAAAAATACTAATCTTTTGTAACAGCAATGTACCTCATTAGCCCGTTTGGGAGCCACGGTGGCTAAGTGGGAAGGACGCTGGCTCGCTAGCCTGGGGATCGGGTGTTCGATCTGTGCATTGGCTGAGAAAGTTAATTGGGATTTTCCGACGTGGTTTCCCCTTGTCAGTGATTCAGTACGGAGGGCCTGACAAGGAAAGCTGTGTAGTTGTTAGGATGGGACGAAAAACCGAGGTTCCATGTATACATTGGCATGCACATAATAGAGACCCTTGGCAGTTGGAGTAGGCCATAATGCTGCTCCCCGGGCAAAATTTCCCTCATATAGCACACAGTGTGGCGTGTGCTCGTTTTCATTAGCCCAGGCGGAGCAGAACAGTAAGACATTAAATCCTATTTCATTTTCATTTCATTAGCCCGTTAGTGCAGAGAAGTAGAACATTAAACCGGATTTCATTAATTTTAGCTTAGTTTGAAGACCAAATATAAGCTTAAATGGTAATGAGTTCTGACTAAACCATCACATAATAGTAAACTAAAAAAAGAAGTAATATATCGTAATGGTAGATACTATCTATCTATGTCACTATTGGTTCACCAATCGATATATATTTATAACATACTGCAGTCTTTCCTTCAATTTATCTATATTATAGTCTACTGGGGAGATACAAGATTATTCCCTACAGTATTCTAGATTTAATCCATTCACATGTCATACTACATACACATCTTGTATCCCACAATATATTTATCTGGTCCCAAAGACAAGATTATTCCCTACAGTATTCTCGATTTAACCCATTAACATGACATATTACATACACATCAGAATCCCACAATACATTTATTTATCGTTACCCAAAGCCCATTTTGTTATGTTGTAGATACTTATAAATGAAGTATATTCCTTTAATAACAAATCACATTTGTTAAGTAATAGAAAGACTCATGAGTGGTGTGAGTCTATGTTATTGTCCGAAAATGAGTTTATTCGGTCAGTTTTACTGCTTTTCAGTTTCATGATCTTGGAATCAATTTTGAATTTAAATGAACTACCATAAATAAAGTTTAGTGAAATATGAAGAAATGGATTATTTTACTTCATGATAGATGTAATCTTGTAAAACTGTCCATTTTCTGTATTCATTACTGATAGAGCGGTGGATATAATCAAATTCGATTAAATGACCTGTGATATTTCCCTGTTTAGTCTCGCAGACGTCATAAAAAATTAAATGGCTCTACCATTTTATAGAACCACTTATTTAAAAATATATATATATATATATATAAAAAATATAAAAAAAACAAAAAACGCTTTGTCTGACTAAACAGTGTAATCCAGAAGTCATTGTGACTATCATAATGAAAGAAGTTTAGAATCTCTACAGAGTTACTGGCCCTTACAGTTTTATTTTAAAAGTTCTTTCAGTCATTCAACAATCTAAAACAATATTTCTATGCCATTATGTTGATAACAGACTTAGGAATTTCTATAGATACAATGTGTGTATTTTTAAAATATATACTTTATAGCATGCACCCGCTCCCACATTCTCAGTTTAAATATAAAAGTATAACTTGGTATACACAGAAAATGCAATGATTGCATATATAATATATAGATAATGGTTTTGTAATAAATTTGAATGCTACTATTAATGTTAACAGGTAAATTTTACTGGGGAATTAGCCAGGTAAGAAATCATGGAATGTAAATAAAACATTCTATAAGTACTAGTGTTGATTTGTTTTGTCTTGAAAACTAATAAAAAGACGTATCATATCTGGAAATTTGTACGAACTCTTTTGATATATTTAGTTTTAAAATGAGAAATGCCATTAATTGGTGTTTAATAAATTTGTGCTTTAAGACGACGTCTGCATTAAAAATATTCTTTAATAAAAAATAAAGCCAGAATTTTGTAGGGACAAAGTGTTAGTCTCTAGGGAAAGTGTAAACAAAACCAAGCTGTACTAAAACAAAGTGTAAGTCAATGGGGAAGTGTAAACAAAAACAAAATGTAAGTCAATGGAGAAAGTGTAAACAAAACAAAGTGTAAGTCATTGGGGGAAAGTGTAAGCAAAACATTGTGTAAATCAATTGGGAAAGTGTAAACAAAAGAAAGTGTAAGTCAGTGGTAAAATGTAAACAAAACAAAATGTAAGTCAATGGGAAAAGTGTAAATTAAACAAAGTGTAAACAAAACAAAGTGTATGTCAATTGGGGAAAGCGTAAATCAAATATAGCCATAACAATGTAAGTCAGAAGGGTAAAATGTAATTTGGAAACTGAACTTAATGGGCATTTTTTTTATTTTTCTTCAGCCCTCTGAAAGGCCTGTCTAGGCTTCTACACTATTGTTCTGAAAGATTGCTAAAAACTACACCATTGTTGGGTTTGTATGATTTGGTAAGACTGGGTCATTAAAAGAAACAATTCCAAAACACAAATGATATAAACTTGTTATAAGATATCCAATTTGGCTCTTTCATACTTTCATTCGGTGCTTTAAAACAACAGGCAGATAGTTAAAATTACTCAGTTTGCGATAGTCATGCTGATTTCAAAATTGTTAGGATTTCTCCATTTACATGCAAACAGAAACACAGCATATCCACATATTACACTTTTTTTTTCTTACTACAAAACAAACAAAAATAATTAGAAAGTATTACATTTACTGTGAATTATGATGTAATTTGGGTCATATTGTGGGGGTCAAAGGGCAATTTAAGCTAATGGTGCAAGTTGGAAAAATCCCTATAAAAGATACTGTAACCAATTGTCAAAATTTTAAAATTCGAAAATAACAGAAATGTGATATTTTCTAAAGATAATTTATAATAAAAAAAAACTCAGGTAAGCTTAAACTGGGCGGGTAAGTAAAACCGGCGGATTAAAAAACCACTGGACTACGAACCGCATTGGTGACGGCTTGTTGCAACACAAGACTTAATAACAAGTCAAAGATATAGGACTATAGGTAGTATGTGGCGTAAGTTTCTATCTTTTCGTTGTAAATTTTTACGGGCCCCAGTTAAAAAAAAAAAAAAAAAAAAAAAATCCCCCTCCTCAACCAAAAAAACCAGTAGGTATAAATTTAGTTATTACAGTTGTAAGTACTTGTAATAACTTGTAAAAAACATTTGGCAAATAAAAAAAAGTTTCTAGCAATCTGGTCTGAAAAAAGTATTAATCCCCTAATTTCTTTTTTCAGGTAAGTTTAAGGGACCCATAGATATTGGTGTATCTCGACACCAGGGAATCAGACTTCTTGTATATCAGTTTGAAAGTATTTAGCCAAAGATGTAGTTGCTGACAACTGAAACTGCTCATGTTTAAGCACCTACTTCTTTGGGCTAGAAAACCAGAACTTAATTCCCTTGTGTCTTGATGTCACTTCTAGAAATGAGTTAAGTGTTTCATAATATTTTATTGCAGGACAGCAAGAGGGTGAGGCAAAGATTTTACAAATTGTTTCCTTGAATATAATCAAGGAGACAATTTGAATGGTTATCTATTGGAAATCGTTCACATGTTGCTCCAAAAAATACTTGAAAAATAAATATATCTTTGAAATTGTCTCAGGACTTTTGTCCACGTTAGCCTTCAAGAGAAAGTATTTTAGAAAAAGCAATTATACTTGAAAAATAAATATATCTTTGAAATTGTTAGCCTTCAAGAGAATGTATTTTAGAAAATGAAATTGTTGCTTCATCAACATTGACTATGCAGTTGACACATCTATTCAAGTAAAGTTTTGGGAAGTTAAAACATGGTTTATTTAATTTATTTTTTTGGCTGAACATGTGTGAAAGTTTCAATAGATAAAATACAGTATTAATGTTTTTATTCACTTGGTTGTTTTTCTTTTTTTTTCTAGCCGCATATAAAAATGCTGATGGTAAAAAGATTGATGGTAGAAGGGTTTTGGTTGATGTTGAACGAGGTCGAACAGTTAAGGGATGGAGACCCAGAAGATTAGGTGAGAGTTGCTAAAAAATAAAACATAAAGATATGTTCCTTTCAGATTGAGGGGGTTGTAAGGTCGAGTGGGTTAACATCTGTCCTTCAGACCATAAGATCTATCATTGAGTCATGTGGCATGATTTCGATTCCCATTCTTGCACGTGATGAGAAGTAGGGTCGTCTGTCCAAACTTGTGAGGTTTCTCAGTGCCCTCTGGTTTCCTTGCTCTATTAAGGACCCCTACACGAAAACTAATTATTGAAATGAAATTGAATCATATGTTACCCGAAACATCTAGATAATGGCAATTATTGTAGGGGACTGGTTCAGTTGCTAGATTTGCACCTTGGGGAAACAGCTCTGCACTGCCCCCACCCCACCCTGGTGATGTAAATCATGTTTTTGTTTTGTTAAATGTTCTGATCTCAACTAAATCAAAAATGAATGCAATTGCAACACATATACTGAATTGTTAGTGAAGGGAAATAACTCTTGTAGGGTATTTTAAATAGAAAATAATAACAAGTGTAAGTTATGAAATACAAATATAATGTGTGTGAGTAATTACTTGCAAGGAAAGCCCCTTAGTACACACTAAGTAGAGAGCTGCTATGGCTCGGCGGAAAATGTACTGGCTCACTGAAGTGATGGCCGATAAAGTTTGTGGGGATTTTCCACCATGGTTTTGGTGGCGGAGGGCCTTTCAAGGATAGCGTCTATAGTCCTTTTATTGGGACACAAAACTTCGGTCCCATGTACACCCTGGCTTGCATGATGTGAAAGAACCCTTGACAATTGGAATTGGATATAAGAGTAGACCAGAATGCTGCTGTTTGGGCAGAATTTCACTAATAGTACAGTGTATGGTGTATGCCCATTTTCAATAACCCATTTCATTTTGCATGGTACAGATCAGGTGACATTATGCAACATTTGTTTGGCTTTATTTAATAAATTTATTTATCTACATATAGGTGGTGGACTTGGAGGCACACGAAAAGGTGGACCGGATGAAAATACCCGATTTTCTGGACGAGAAGGGTAAGTGTTTTTTTTTTCATTAATACTGCAGAACTTTTGCAAGTTTTTAAAGTACCAAAGGGGGACCGGTTTCGATCATTTTCATTTCTGAAAATAAAAATGTAATTATAAAAGTTGTGCTTTATTTAATATCTTTTACTAGTTATACTCACTATGTATAAATCTTCTGTGCTGGATATATCTAATAAAGTATTATCTGAGTGCCATCTTCTCATCTTGCAGAAGTTATCGGGAAGATCGACGCTCTCGGAGTCGAGAGAGGATGCCGGAACGGGAGAGAGGAGGTGACCGTGCTGAAAGAGATACAAGGAGACGTCGTACTAGAAGTAGAGATCGTGAAGAGAGGCGTAAAAGGAGTCCAGTTCGTGAACGAGAAAGAGAACGTGTTGAAAGGAGGAGATCTCGTAGTAGAGACAGACGTAATAAAGACTGGGAGGATCGTGGTGTTGCACCTGAAGGTATAAAATAATAAAATATTGTATAAATTAAGCCTAATACTAATAGGGGGTTAAAAAAGAGTAAATTAGACTAGTTTTAAAAAAAACTAACAGAGGTGTTTAAATCAATTTAACTAACATATAAACACAAGGTACAATTTTATCGATACACAATTACCGAGTTTAATACTAAGTGACGTTTCGACGAAGATACTCTCGTCTTTATCAAGCATTTGCTTAGTATTTATGGATACAAAATTACTGAGCTATTAAAATAGCTCAGTAATTTTGTATCCATAAAATTGTACCTTGTGTTAATATTCAATTACTAAATGCCAATCGAAGGTTAACTAACATAGTTATATGAGAGAACATTCACTGGTTTATTATACACAAGCACAGCGCTTTCAAAAGTATCCTCTTATAGTTGTCAAACACAATGACATTTAATAAACTGAAAGATCTATATGAATGTACAATGTGAAGCCATACTTCATTAATTTGTCAAGATGATTAAAGGGGTTCATACATTTTAACAATCATATTAACAACAAAGTACTTATGATGACAATCTGATTAAAACACAGACCCTATTTCGTTTCGTTTTTTATAGTTCACAATTGCGTTTTAATTGTCTTTACTACACTAGGATCTGGAAGAGTTGTTATATTACCTGCATTTTGGTTGAATGGGGGATTAGCAAATGAAATGGTCTGTTACGGCAAGTTCTTGGTGTGCCATGCACGGAACTGTGGGTAAACCACTAGAAACATCACCGCTGATTGATTAATCAATGTCGTACGACCCCTGACACGACCTTCCAGTACAACGTGTCGGATCTTCATGTAGTGTAGGCCATCGAAAGTATAATAAAACCGAAACAAAATATACATCTGTATTTTAATCCGATTGTTATGATGATAAAGGTAAACAGGAAACCATTATGTATGTTGTTACACTATCATTGGAGGAGTCTGTCGTTGAGGAGGCTTTTCTTAAAAGCTAACCTATCTTGGCCACCTGTTGTACACAGCTTGCTTTGGACTCATTTAGTAAGCTGTTTTCCTGGCAAAATGAAGACATTTGCCCATGCATAATTAACTCGTAACCATAGCCAACAGTGTTGGCCGAGACATTCATCAGGTGTTACGGCGCGATTCCCCATTGTCAGTGGTGTAGGACGGAAGGTCTGGCAATGGACAATGTATAATTGTTTAGATGGGATGGAAAACCGAGGTCCCGTGTACACAGTGGTGTGCATTTAAAAAGAACTTTGACAGTTGGAATTTAAAATAATAGAAGGCTGTAGCTGCACTGTCTGGACAAAATTTCACTCAGTCATAGCGCACGGCATGGTGTATGTCTGTCTTCATTAGCCCAGTCGGTGCAAAACAGTAGGACATTAAACCCTATTTCTTTTCTTTTTTGTGTACTGTAAATAGCCAATGACAACAGAAAGACCTTGTCCATTATTGATCTATTTATAATCTCAATGAAATCTCATGCATAATGCAACTAAAATCAGCTGTCCAAACAGCCAACGCTCTAATTATAGGTTAGATCTGTGATAGTGTAGTAAATCAGAACCATAAAGATTAACCGAAATACAGATGTAATTTTAACACCTTTAGCACTTGTTACATGTAAATATTGACTACCCCAGTTCCTTGAAGAAGATTAAGAGAAAAGTGATATATTATGATACTGGTATATCCCTGAACAGATCGAAAATGTGGTTCCTTAAACTTTCTCAAAGCACCTGAATATATGAAGAGCTTTCCATATACCTCAGCTTTGCACGTGACAGGGCAATTTGGAGTTGTCTTAGGAACCATGGATTGTGGGGTGTTCTATATTATAATACCCCTTAAGAGATCGAAAATGTTCCTTAAACCTTCTCAAACCACCTGAGATATGTGAAGAGCGTTTCATGCACCTCAGCTTTGCACATGACAGGGCAATTTGGGGTTGTCTTAGGAGCCATGAGTTTTGGGGTTCTTGGTGCAAAAGGGTTAATTTAATTTACAGTTGGCAGAGTTAAATATTAAATCTTAATGTACCTATTTAACAAGAATGTATATTTTGTATTTTTTTTAATTGCAGAAGAAGAGGAAGCAGGTAGAAAAGACAGAAAGAGAAGTCGACGTAGTAGATCACGAGATCGTAAACGTAGCCGATCACGAGACAGGAAAAGGAGAAGAAGCAGAAGCCGAGATAGAAGACGATCACGTGATCGTAGAATTAAAGAAGAACCTGTTGATGAGGATCAAGTTATTAAAATCAAAGAAGAGAAGGTTGATGATGACTACAGATATGGTGTTATGGCTCGTAACGAAGAAAGTCAAGAGGAGGACAGAAAGACTTTCGACATGTCCATAGTTAAGCATGAAGAAGGTGAAGATGATCAAGATGAGAATGGGGATCGTGAGGAGGAAGAAGAAGAGGAGGAAGATGATGGTGATTATTATCAACAACGCGAATATGGCGTGAAAGAAGAAAAATATGAAGGACAGGAAAAGGGATATGCTAATTAGATTTAATAACGAGACTGGGGAAGGAGAATAACTAATAATTACGGCGATTAAGAAGTTTAGCTTTTATGAATGACGAGAAAATTAATAAATTAATTAGATCAGTAGACCAGTGGGGTTTTAATCATTCTATCCAATGGGCATATAATCCTAAATACACCAAGTATTAACTTTTATGAATTGAAGCATTTGTTTGTTTTGCAAATAACAATTATGTTACTTTTAGTTAGATCACTTGATTTTTAACTTTGAACATCTTTCTAATATATCACTTTATTTAACATGCAGTGATTTAATTCAGATTTACAGAGTTGGATATTAATACTTTATGGTAAACTTGTTCTTCATTGTTCTTCATTTGAGTGTCAAATGTCAAATCGAATGGGAAGATAAGAGTAGTTAATAATGCTTGCCAACAAGAAACAGCCTTCATTGTATTGGGTAACATGTGGAATTATTCTCTTGGTAGGCATTGTGATTTATTGAAAAGATTAGGCTACCTTAGCATTTATTTTAGTATTTTTTAAATTAAATAATATGAAGACAAGATTCCTTGTTATCTTTGTTATAATTTGTCTTAGTATCTAGGTTATTATTAGAATAAATTTATCTTCAAACTTATCTGAATGGATTTTATAACTTGGTATCTAGGTTTAATGATAATATACATTTATCCACATACATACCTTGATGGATTTTTAATGTAAAACTATCATGTTGTGGCTTGCCTGTTTCTCTTATAGATGTGCTGAACAAAATGTTTTAATTTTATTCATAACTTAGCTTCATTTCCTTATTGGGCTACAGTCGCTGTTTTGTAGGCCTGTGTTTTGTATTGTATATATAATGCCATTTGTAATTGTAAAACATGATTTCTCCTAAGTTCATTGTTTTATTTCATGTAATATTTGTATCATTTGTGCAATTCATCATTTTATCATTGTATTTTAGTGATCATTCATTCAATCATTAATTGTTTTCATCAATACTATTATTATATTCAGTGTGAATTTGAGCTATTGATAGAATATAATTATTGTCATTAGTTTATGACATGTAATTCTCTCGGAAGGTTATTAACTATGAAGGATTGGAATCCATAGAACTAGTCTGTTAGATGTTATGAGTGTAACAGAGATTTCTTGTTCATACTTTGATCTGGACAATGAAAAATGTGTATTCTCAACTGCTTGTATTGTCAACAGTGGATATTTCACAATCGGTCATCTTTTAAACTAACGATATAATGATGAAAAATAAGAAATTTTGTGGAATACTGGATTTTCCATTCATTTTCATTTCTTTAAGTTACTTCTTACTAAATCATGGTTTAGATGAAGATCAATGACTAAATCATTGTTTCGGTGTAGATTACTGACTAGATCATGATTTAGGTAAAGGTAAAGATTGCTGATTAAATCATGGTATAGGTAAAGATGACTAAATCATGGTATAGGTAAAGATTAATGACTAAATCATTGTTTCGGTGTAGATTACTGACTAGACCATGATTTAGGTAAAGATTACTGACTAAATCATTGTGTAGGTAAAGATTTCTGACTAAATCATGGTTTAGGTAAAGATGACAAAGTCATGGATTAGGTAAAGATTGCTGACTAAATCATGGTCTAGATAAAGATAAATGACTAATCATTGTTTAGGTAAAGATTACTGACTAAATCATGGTTTAGGTGAAGATTACTGATTAGTCTTGAGTAACACCTGTATTGTGTATCAAAATATTAATTGCATATGGTCTCTGTAATTAAATTAGTAAGGTGTTTAGATTTAGAACCATAACTTTGCTGTCCATGATTTGTTTTTGTTGAAGACCTATTTATCAACACTGGAGTTTAAAAATTACCTTGCTTTAACCATGATATAACTCTGTTCTTTAAAATTTATATTGTATGATTAAAAAGACTTCATTCATTGTTTGCACAGAAAATATATATAAATATCTCTCCTCAAAGTGAATTATGGCTAAAGGAGAAAATTTTGAGTTCTTATTATTAATCACTGGGCTTCAAAATGCCATTGAAACTGGATGAGTTTTATTTATGTATCTTAGTAAGGCACCAGGTGGAATTTAAATGCAGGTTTTTGTTATTTGTTTAATTGAGTAACTCTGCTTCAAAATAAACCTATTCACACTGACATCTATTGTTTTACTTCCTGTTCTTCAGGACAAATATACCCTTGGTTATCTCAAACTGGCATTGGTAAAGTTCACCTCTAGGTGCAGATCCAGGAGTTGGGGGGGGGGGGGGGCAGCACGCTGGTCCCTATGAGTTTAATTTTGTTAACAGTGGTTATCTCTGGTAAAGTTCATCTTTAGGTGCAGATCCAAGGAAACTTGGAATGCTGGTCCCTGTGAGTTTAATTTTGTTACCCTTGGTTATCTCTAGAAAAGTTCACTTCTAGGTGCGGATCCAGGGGTGGGGGGTCTAGCAGGAAACTTGAAACCAAGTCCTTGTGAGATTTTTAATTTTTGTCACTGGTTCCACCCCATTTCGTAAATTATTATAGATATTTTCATGTAACAAACTAACATCTTGAACTGTCGCAAATATGCCCAAGATTTGATTGCAACTAAATGTGAATGCTTATACCAAACAAACACAAAAGTAAGTGCAGGGAGACAGCTCCACGCACAAACAATTAATTACATAAGACAAACCTACGGGTCTATGGACAGGCCACAATATACACTTACAACTCGAGCAACAAATAAATGCACTTATCACTTATCAGATCAAGTGAATGTATCCGGGGCTAACCATATGCGTCCACTGCGCTCTACAGTCACGGTCAAAATGAAAAACTAACAATAACGGAAGCAACTCAAGAAAAGGAAAGAGAATATTTCCCAAAGGTGTCATACTGGTCATGATCGGCTATGTGCTACAACAAATATCAATGTAGGCACATTGATTGAAAAAACCTTGATAACCATGAGTAAATTCCAGGTTATCAAACAGCACGTTTATTTTTTGACATAAATGTCCACACTGAGAAGTATATATCCAAAAATGGGAGGTAGTGTGAAGTCTGTAATTACGGTGTACTGATATAATTATACACGTGTTATTAATCTGTTAATACAGAAGATACTATAATTACTACGGATAGCTGACAGATTAATGTAATAAAACTTGCTATAAATCTTAATTTACAGTGATGAATTGAAGAAGGGTCGTGTGATTATTGGCACATCTTATAGATTGACCAATGTGTGGGCGCAAAGAAAGGTTGCGTGTCTGCGATATCACCATTGTGGAAGCAGACGTTTCACAGCAAAGGGATGTTGGTTGTAGACATTTCCGGGCCCACCTACCATAATGAGGCATTCCCCTGGCCTTCTACCAAGGAGATATAGATGCTAGAAATTTCCCAAGCCTTCTACCATATAAATAATACACATTTTCCGGGGCCTTCTACCAAAGAGATATTGATATTAGATATTTCCCAGGCCTTCTACCAAAGAGATATAGATAATAGACATTTCCCGCCCCGGGCCTTCTACCAAGACATATTGATAGTAGAACCCACAGATATTGATAGTAGACATTTCCCGGACCTTCTACCAAAGAGATATAGTCAAAGATCTGATTTTACGTAAATATGTATTACAGTCCGAAATTACATTTCAGAATTTTCTCGAGATAGTGTACCCATCAAAATTCCATAGAAAACTCACACCGTTCCCAAATTTCATTCTGCGACATTGTTCTGTCAACTCAAAGTTCTAGTTGTTAGGCTATTTATTGAAGAAAAGATTCTTTTATTTATTTTAGTGTACGTGTATTCCTGCAAAAGTAATTCTACATAATTTCCAGAAATTGAGTAGCCATATGAAATGGTATGGATTTGTCCAACCGTTCAGCTTTCCCAATATGTATATCGGTTTCGAGGATGAGGGAGAGACTACTAGGCTCGTGATCCCCTGAACGAACACAGTTCCCGAGACATTCAGAATAATTAGGAACCCAGGAATCAGTACAAAGGTCAGAATATATCTGGAATCATTGCAGCCAACAGCAACACGTGGCATCCTTAAAACATCTGAATCAACTGGGTACCATTACACCGATCCACAGAGCGTCACAAAGCGTCCGCAAAGAATTTAAAACATACCATGCCCAAGACAAATTGAAACATGAATGAATTCTTGTCAGACGTGTATATTGAGAATACTATATATGATCCCATCCAAGATGTTTATTGGATTTTTTTTTTTTTTTTGCGCAAATAATTACTGGGTGATTCCTTATGGTTATATATAGTTCCCCTAACGATGGACAAAGATGTAATAATGTGCACTGGTTACAATTCAATCTGAACTACTATTACACTTAACCAGTCCAATCACCACTTACCCGTCATTCATGACATCACTATGTACCAATCCAATCACCTCGTTTATCTACTCGGCACTCCAGAATCATCATCTTCACTCGGTTTGATTAATTTGTTACGACTTTAGTGATTGGGTGTCGAAAAGCAACACATTTCCAATACAGGGAAAGTTGAAAGGTCTATTACCAATGCCATCGACCTATCGTGGGTCCGATCACATAGTCAACATGTTAAAGCGTTTTACTTTGCATCTGCTTTTTGTAAGGAATACAATAAGTAGTTCAATCGTACAATTTTAAGCAACAATAACCAAGGCTGTCTGTCTTAACTCGTGGATTTGCTTTGACTTCTTCTGTTTCATTATCTTCTCAAGATCCCGAAGAGAATACGAAATATAATATAATAAAATTTTAGCTCAATTTAGTCTCAAAAGGGCCAAATTCTGTTAAGTAAAGATTTATCATGTGCTCAGATAGTACTTGATAACAATTTCTGGATTGGAAAGCTGTTATAACCTTCAATTCTGTTGTTTGGATATTGCATAAAGACGCAAGAGCTAAATCGGCATATTGCAAGTCTTTATTTTGGCTTCAAATATTTTACAAACTATTATTTAGACATTTTTTCACATAAGCCTATAACCAACCCCCTAGATTAGGCCACTGCGGCCATTTCAGAGTTTAACGATTGTCAAGTGCCGTTGCAACAAACGATAATAAACAATATACGCTATATTTTGTCAAAATTCGAACACTCATAACTTCGCACTGAATATTGGAATTTGACTGTAATTTCCAATATATTCATTTTTTTATTATCTACATGTATTTTCGGACTATTATAGCAAGAACGCACAGCTAATTCTTTCATAATATATCTTTAAGTGTTCTAATCGATTATAGATTTTTTTCCCCTACAGATCCTATCCATTTATACTCAATTAAGCGATCATACCATTTCTTCATCTCTAACGATTTTGTGATCCTATCTTTCTGTATCCATTTCCAGGTCGGGTTTAGGTTGTGGCCCATGTCAGTTTATATAAGGATACATATTAATGATAATTATGTGCTACTATATTTGAAATGTTTGGTATACAGACATTAGTTTACACCATGGTGTGATTAAGTCAGTATTTGGTATTGATTTTGTTACCGTCTAGTCTAGACGTGGCCCATTCCATTCCTACACTTACCATTATTAACAAGTGTTGGTTGACTTTACCAGTTCTAACACTGATTTAAATACGACACGGAAAATATATGGACAAATATCCGGAGGGGATATATTTCAAGGTTTCAACACAGTTCTCGTTAGAATATCGAACTTGTCTTCGTATTGAATAAACTTATCGGGATTACCTCGTGAAGTCCTCGCTGTCCATCATACCACATGGTTACTGCGGATCAGGGTGGCAGAATTCAACCCCTCCGTGTACACATTAGCGTGCACGTAAAAGAACCCTCGACAGTTGGAATTTGAAATAAGAATAGGCCATAGTGCAAAATCCCCCCCCCAACCCATAACACACTGTATGGCGTAAGCCCGTCTTCACTAGCCCAATTAGGATAGAAAAGTAAGACTTTTAAAAACCTATGGAATTCATTTTAGGTTCCAAGGGGATTATCATTTGCCTTTAGTTATTGTCTTTCGTTCGTTGCGGTTTCAGATTTATCTCATTTCCCGTACACATGTGGGGCGTTGGATGGCCAAATGGCCGAATGGTTAGCACGCTGTATCATACGGTCTGTCATTGAGTCAACTGGCGGGGTTTCGATTCACCGGTTGTACGTGACAAGGAGTAGGGTCGCCTGCCCAATCTCGTGGGTTTTCTCCGGGTCCTCCGGTTTCCCCCCACTGCTAAAGACCCTACGCGTAAGCGAATTATTGAAATAAAATTGAACCATGTGTTAGTCCCGAAATGACCTAGTTTGCGTCGAGTGGACGTTAAACCCTCTCTCTCTCTCTCTCTCTCTCTCTCTCTCTCTCTCTCTCCATACACATGGCCACAATCTGATTAAGATTCGAGTTTACTTTCGTTTTATGTAGTATAGATCAAACAAAGTTAAAACCCACAAAAAAAAAAAATCGTATTTTAATCGAATTAAAATAACTATACGGGTAATGTTAAACATAGGTTGCTAAGCAACCAAATACACGCCCATTCATAGTTTTGTGATCGGAACACCGCAGCATAATGGGAGTTTTTTTTAGAGGCAATGGATTAACGCACATAGTTATCATTGGAAACTGTTGAGAAACAATAGACTTTTTCCTTTTAAAAAAAACAAAGCACATGGCCTACATTTCGGCAAATTTTTAATACTTAATAAGCCTCTGTAAGTCAATATCGACAATCGCTGAAACTTAATACGGACTCATAGATAGTTGCAACCGAAATCCCACTCTATGTCGACCTGGGGTTCATCCTTTCAGAAAGATAGGTTGATAACTTTATTGCATCTTACAAAGTGCTAACACATTTCATAACAAAAGGACACAACCCTGGAGATGATTATCAAAATATCAATATACTTCTTGTAATGGGATATATATGAAATAGGGTTTAACGTCCTATTGTTCTGCTCCCACTGGGCTAATAAAGACGGTAGCAATGAGATACATAATAACTCGTGTCCATTTCAAAAAGATATAACATTAAATATGACCCACGGTCAGATTGTAGTGAAGGAAATATACGACCACATTAACTGGTGGCCATATAAAAACCAATTCAGTTTCAAACATTTATTGTCCAGCCTTTTATAATGTTACACGAGCAATGCCATCTTTAAAAT